CATTCACCCAGACGCATCACTGCAACTCGCCGGAATTGGGCAAGCTTGGCTGAAACGCGCAGCGAAGCTCTACCCAGCCTGGCCAACGTGGACCTCAATCTTTCTGACGAGAAAATTGTGGCCCTCCTGCTGGAGTTTGATCACGATGTTGACATAAGCAGCAAACTGGAGGTAGCGGGCAACCTGTCTGAACCTGTCTGAAGAAGCCTGGGCGTTCGCTAACCTGGTGCGCGAGGTGGACAAGACACAGCAGAAGTTGAAGCCAGGAAATCGAATGGCAGAAGAGGTGGATAGCAGCTTCGAAAAGGTTCACCCTGGCCTGCGGGAGAAAGGCAATCAAATCGTTCAATGCGTTGAGGCCTCATTTGGGATGTTGTATCAGGCATTATTTCGCGCGGTGCACTTGATACACACCCTGGGCATGGCTGAAACCGTGGTGATAGCCTCGACTCCGGAATTCGCGTCGAAGACGCATTCAACACAATTGTCAAGCAACTCAGCCCAGAGCAATTTGCATCCTTGGCCTGCCACTGCCACACCTTGGATCTCCGCGAGTGTGATGCTTCACACCATCGTGGAGACATGATTCTGCATGGGCTGCTCTTGAAAGCTCTGCTGCCAGAAGCCAGAATTTTGCGCTTGGCCTATCTCGCCTTGGCGTCTACTGCCGCAGCACGCTGGAGAGCAAGAACGGTCAAGTTGGTGCAGCCAGCAGACTTTTGGTCAGCATTGATGTCAGGTCTCCCGGACACATTCATGCGCAACTGCATCAAAATGTTGGAAGTGGCCGGGACACTGAAACTGGCCATCGCCTTCATGATCGTAGGGGGAGACGATTTGGCACTTGGAACTTTCGACTTGAAGGCCCAAACTTCAACCTAGCAGGGCAACTTGGCAACATCGTGACCTTGGAGCGAACTGCGGTTGGAGAGTTTTGGTTTCATTTCAGGATAGTAGACAAACACGGTTCACATCCTGATATCTTCAAAGTGGCAGGAAAGGTGCTTGACAGGCGCTTTGTCCGGCCAAAACACTGCGTGCACGACGAAGTGCGCGCTTACATTGTCTCTGTGCGCGATCAACTCGCGGGTATGACCTCCGCAGAGACGATTGGGCATTGCCTTGCCAAAAGCTGCAAGGCAAACAAAGCCCCAATTGAGGCGGCCGAGACTTGCTATGATTTTCTGGCATCATATGCAAGCTCTCAGCCCGAACAGGTGTTTGTTTTGGAAACAGACATGCCACTGGCAGATTTCTGCCCCAGTGACTCTAAAGCCCATGGATTGTTTCGAGCATCGTGACTTTTTGGTTCAGTCTGGTTGAACATAGAACCACCAAACCACCAATTGGGGGAAGCTGATAGATGGGATCGGTCATGATCGGTCTCAGTCTCGTTCAACTCACCAGTGCCATCCATTCGTCCAAGAGGACAGCCGAGGTTTCTACGCAGCTGACATGTCTTGCGAAAGTTGCCTGCCAACCTTCAGGCACACACGTCACAGTAGTGAAGCTCTCAGGCGGGCGGGATGCTTTGAATGGTTGCTTGCGGGAGGTTCCTCAAATTGCGAACGTTGATCCAATTTAGTTTATTAGTAGGGGGGTGTTTTTGGGGTTTAGTGGGGAATCAGACCACTTTTGGAGGGGCCAAAAACCACCCCGTATGAATAAGCCGGGGTTAATCCATATGGGGTCTGGAAGTTCGTTGCCAAGTTGGTAAGTGGTTGGCCACTTGGGCTCTAACACCCTGATCGCCAGGTTCAGCCCACTGAACCGGGGTCTTGTGGGGTTTTCTACCAGAAGGGGTACCAACGCCCCCAACTTGGCCGGCGAACACTCAAGTATGTCATGTGGAGGAAAATGACACGCTATTTGGATGGGAGGGTGGTTCGCAGACACAGATCCCGTGGTTCCGAAGGTCAGGTGGTGCTGACGACTTCCTGCAGGGCTGATGCCAGCGTGGCCAAGCTCAAGCGGGAAATCGCGGCCAAAGAAGGGACTCTTGGTGCATCTGAGTGAAAAGAGCGGGGACGGGGTTGGGATCACTTCTTGAGTTCCTGGAGTTGAAGAGAGTATTTTAGTGGCAAAGAAGCTGGGTTACTTTGGTTGGCCAGTCCACTCAGGAAGTGAGCGGGTTTGTGATCTCCTTTGGAAGCATGCTCCAAGTGTTGCCAAATAGTCATGAGCTAGAAGTTGTTCTGTTCGCAACCCACAGTCACACGAGCCGGGGCACATGTCGATGACGCCAGAGGAGCTTGAAGCTGGAGATGCCCACTTGAATGACCTTTCAGTACTTGGGTGTTTCATTCGCCAAGTCGGTAAGTTGTTGGTAAGCCAGGTTGTAAGACTTATACCACTTAGAAGTCCCTCCTAAGTGGGGATCACCTTGAAAAAAGGGCTATAACCCATGCCAAATGGCTAACCACTTGCCTAGCTTGGCCGCACAGTGTAGATATTTGCCCACTCAGTTCACCGAGCTTTGGCTTTGTTCAAGGCGCTCAGTTTCATCGCGATCCGTATCGCATATGGAAGGCGAGAAACTCCCCTTCAGGATGTTTCTTTCTTTGCTAGGGTCTTGAAAGGGAGATACGAGGATCCCTCCATAGGTGTCCTAAGGGGCCCAAACATAGGCGTTTTGGGTTGTTTTGGCAAAAAACGCATGGTTTACGGGGTGGTTTGCTCATCTACCAGGGCCATCTATTTCCCCCAAAAGGACACCTATGGGCCCAAAGAATTACAAGAGTGTCCCTTGCCTTGTACCATCCAGGGTCCATGTTCGATTGGCCCGGCGAAGCTCGGTAGGGGTCGCGCCACTTTCTCAGCTGATTGATTTCCAATTCTCGTCAACCGTCTTTTCGTTCTGTTCGGAGAACGAGAATCGTGTGTCTTTTGGTTTCTGAAAAGAAAACAATCGTCTCTCAATTGTTCCAGATTCCAGACCTGCGGTCATGAGTATGGGTCATAATTAATCCACCAGGTTTTAGCATTTGCCAGGGTTCCCTTTTTGGGTACCTATGTTGACCCACACCCATTTGAACTATTTTAGGGGCTGATCAAAGTCAAAAACTCTAATGGTTTTCCTTAACCCATTTAGAAGGGCTGACTTTGAAAATGGTAGAATCATTCGGCCAGACCAACATTTTGTTTTGCAACACACCAACACAAAATATGTGCCATAAAAACGAAACATGCAAGAGAATTACCCACCCCCGTGGTGGGTAGACGCAAAAAGCCACTGTGAGCCCGACGATTTCAATCCGGTGAGTGCTGTTTCGGCAGGCAGGAAATGAGACATGGAATGACCGGAAGAAAGAAACCATCCCCCATGGTTTCCTTTTTTCGGGAATCCCCCGAAATCGGTTTATTCCCGCCCGGAAGAAGAGGTTTAGGATCGATGTGTTTCTCTAACGTTTTGAGGATCCATGGTTGTTGTTGGGAAGCATTTTACATTTTGGCTTTTTGTGGTTTAGTGGTTGAAGTCCCCACTTAACTGCTAAATTTCTAATTGTTTGCTCCCCTTCGAACATCAACCAAGGATCCCCGTGCTGGACGTGCGCCTGCTGATGGGAGAGAAGGAGCTGGACAACCGCGAGGTCGTTGGTGCCTATTTGCCGGACGAGGGGCCCGCTGCCGCTTGGGCCGAATGGGTTCTTACCCTCAGTTTCCCAAACCCGACCCTTTTAACCTTTTGGTTTTCCTAGTTTGGTCTATTTTGAGTAAAGGTCCCAAAAGGTTAAATGTTTGTTTCTGTGTCCTTTGGGCAACTGAGTACGCCGTCAGTGAATAAATGGGTGTGTCGTCTTTTCAGAGTACCCCTTTGTCTCTTCTTTTGAGGGTACCCCTTTGGTCAACGTGGGTGTATCGCCAAAGTACATAAATTGATAGCGGGCACAGGAGCCCTTGAATGGGTCCATGTTGAGCACGCCTGCTGCCCACGATGTCTCATGTCGGCTTTTCGCCGAGGTGTTTACGCGCCTCAGATGCAACAAGGGCCATGGATCCGATGGGATACTTGTTCCTGCACAGTGGAGCGCAGGGATCCTTAACGAGATTTCCCTTGGGCTTAGATGCATCACCTTTCTGAACATGCAGAAGTGCATTTCCTCTTGGGGCGATATTTGAAGGAGACATATTTTGGGGTGTCTTTTCGTGCCAAGATTGGAAACCGAACCCCATTTTGGGAATCGCCCCGATTCCTGAAAAAGCACACAGCCACATGCTCTCAAGGAGTTTGGAGACATAATAAGGGTGTGTCAGTTTTCAAGAGACCCTCAACATGGTTGGTCTCCTTTTGGTTTCTCTTTGAAACCGACCAACAGAGGGGTACCCCTAAAAAAGACACACTCCTACTATGTATGTCCTCTTGGCGGGATTTGTTCGGAGGCATATCTTGGCCCCTGATCTCTCAGGTTCACGCGTGTAGATCATGTCGCCAACGACCCTCGTCAGCAGGCGGCCTCCAGAATTTCGCTCGCCTGGAGGAGGCAGCGCGGCTAGGTGCACCTTGACGCACCTTGCCATGGTGTGTCTTGTTTAGGGGACCTCATCGAAAAAAACATATACCAACAAAAACAAGCGCCATTATTACAATTATACCAAAAGAACAAACACCACTATTATATTGTAATAATGGTGTTTTTTTTGGTTTTCCATGGTTTTCCTTGAAAACAAGCAAAAAAGGGGTTCCCCCAACAAACAGGCACACCCATATGCCGCGTGACCTCACGAGACTGACTCGCACCAGCGAGACAATTCAAGCAGGGCTGTACAGTTTCGTCTGCATGTGTAGTGCGCAAAAGGGGTGCGTGTTTTTCATGCTAGAAAAGGACGAACTCCTGCACCGGTTGATATGTGGTTGTCCAAGTCTTCATGGGGGTTATCCAGACAGGTGCAGGATTTCGTCCACCACAGCATGCTGACTCGCCTGGGTTGTTCAAAATCAATCCTTCATCCTTTTGCCAAATGGTTGCAGGCTGGTGAGGATTAGGAATTTCTCCGGTTTGAACAACCCATCAGTTGCACTCAGCATGACTACCAAGTTCCATTTGCCAAGAGCTTGCAGATCCTTGAGTGGCCCCGCAGCACGACAAGATCGGCCAAGATCGGCCAGTAGTTTGTCCAGCATCGCACAAATCGCAACCGGGCAACAGATGATTTCTGGAGCTCGGACCTCGGGTCTTCCCTGGCAGGGCTCTTTTCCACGTGGGACCCCAGGATTGAAGAATTACCATGTACCAGGGGGGTTTATGGGGGGTATCCCTGGATATGCCCAGGAAAAGCCAAGGCGCCAAAAAAAAAGGTAAGGGATAGCCACCCCTCCTCAGAGGGGGGTCCATGATCCTGTCAATCTGCAATATGTTATCATCCGGGGCCGACATTTGAGCCGCAAAACCGGACGGTTTTCCAGGCCACTTACAATGTCACCTTCGGATACGATGTCAGCTGCGGGCAGCTCAGAACCAGCTGGCGCCAAGGAAAGCTGCTTTCTCTCAAAGGGGTTGCATCATACTGTGGATGGTTGCGAAATTTTGCACCACCCAAGAAAGCCTGGAATGATGTTTCCCCTGTAAATACCAACAAACGGTGGTTCCCATGGTTTCAAAGTGGTGCAGGAACTGCGGATACGTAGGTTTCCTTTTTGGCTGCTTTGGTTGAAAAATCGATGGCCCTGGTTGACTTGGTTGTTTCATTCGTCTACCATCCATTGTCCAAAATGGACACCTATGTTCACGAGTGTTTCCTACTGAAGTGGTCCCTTTGACGCTTGTTGACAAGAGGCCTCCAGAGGGTTTTTGAATCCCCTACCCCTGCGGAGATGTTGTTTGGTTTGTTCATAGCCATGAATTTCCGTGGCGCAGCTAACAGAACACGGTGGAGATAGTTCCACGTGATATTTCTGGTCACCAAAGGGTCGCCGGCTACAAGTCCTACCTTGGAAATCAGCCCGCCAAACACGGTATCTACACAGAGGTTGGTTAGCAACGTTTCAAAGGCCCTTTGCAGCATTCCCTACGAGGAACCAACCTGTTTCCGTTCCCTTCCCAAAAGTTTGGGGTGGTTTCCAAAGCCCCAACCGAATTGTGCACGCTCGATTGACATCTTGGTGTGCTCCGAAAAGCAGGTCCAAAGATGGCAGGTGGACGCATCTGATCCAAAGCCTCAGACAAAGCGATACCCAAAGACGTCAGAGAGCCAACATGTTGTTCCCCTGAAAATACGAGTGCTTGGAGTGACTTACTAGATATCAGAGCAGGGCTTTTATGCGTTAAGTGCTTTTCCCTTGAAGACATTGGTGAATACGTTGGGTTGTTGCCATGCTGTTGTTTCCCATCCTTTGGATTCAGGTAGCCCTAGACTGCTGGCTTGGAATTGTTGGGGAGTTGAACCGCTGCCTGTCAAAATGAAGTCCATTGCCAGGTTATGTTTCCAGCTCTTTGGGTGTTTTGATTAGTGTCGAGCAGTGTTCCCCGGAAAACTCGAGCTGAGGTGGGTGTGGGCGAGAATTCAACCTCCAGGTTACCGCAGATTTTAGGATTTTAGTCCATGTTTCCATTTACCAGGGCAAGCCATTTTGGGCACCTATTTTTGACCAGCCAGGTGAATATCCGGCTCCCATCGCGGTGGTGGTCACTTGCATGCCCGGTACCTGGCCAGCGCCGGTGCCACACTCCATGCCGATGCCGGCGCTGCCATCGCCGATGCCATCGATGCCATCGATGCCGATGGGACCGGTGTGCTTTCAGCCCGCAGGGGGCCTCGTGAGTGCTGAGCCCTGGTGTTGAAAGGAGTCTAAAGCCATGTGGCTGTGGTTGAGAAATAGGGTAACCCCCAAATGCCTTGCCCTGAAAAGTGGAGCCATGGACCAAAACCGGCGGTTTTGTGGTGGTTTGGTTTTGACCCATAACCCATGTATTGTGTAGACTGTCCCCATCGCCTGGCTGTCCTATTGGGAAGCATCGATGGATTCCAACGTTAAATGAGTCTTGAACCAAACTGAAACCAGTGGAAATCTCCCTTGGCGTCGCTTAGGGGAAAGCCAAAACAATTGGCTAATTCGCACCCAGTGAACACAACATACCTAGCTTGCCTTCAACTTGTACCCGACAATTCATATCAAATGCTTCAAGTTGTGTCAATCCAACCAAGTAATTAACATCGTTGTGCGGGAGACCCTAGCCCAGCACCCGGCAACAACTGCTCTTGCAATCATGTCCGAAATCCCAGGTGTCCAAGCATTGGGCAGTGGTTGGGACCTGGGTTCTGGGAGCGAACAACACGTGTCACACGGTTACCCCCAAGGGGAACACGAAAATTGGAGGTCTAGGTCCCCCAGTGCCTTTTTTGGAGGGTTCAGACTACAGAAAGGGTACCCTTAAGTAACCTCTTTACTGGAGGACCTAGAGGGTCATGCCCTTTGCCTGGCCGAACCAAAGTGATTGTATTCTCGGTTTGCTCTGTGATTTGGGTGTGTGGGTCTCGCGTGATGTCTGAGCGAATCCATTTGGTCAGAGGAAACGGTTCAGCGCAAGCCGGGAGCCGACGAGCCGGTTGGTCGTTTGGAGTTGGATCCATGTTTGGGGTGGTGCTATATGGCTGTGTCTTTTCTGGAGTCGGTACACCGTATTTTTGTGCATTTTGAAGAAAGACCGAAAGGAAACCATTTGGGGGGGGGGTCCGTTAAAAAAAACGTTGAGACGCCCCAAATGGGAAGCCCAAAGGAGATCAACGCGGCCCGGTCTTTTTACGGGACAGTTCTGAGGCTCCGGTGAACTGGTTCCCACAGTGCCGGGACCCCAGCATCGATCGAACCTTTGTGGCCAACCTTTTGGGTGAGTAACATTCGGTGTCCTTTTTCACGAAAACAATTGTGGCCCTGGTTGACCTAGCTCTCTCAATCGACCTGGGCCATGTGTTTTCCCAGCGCAAACAAATGGTTAGCCAGGGAGGGTGCACTCAATGGGGAATTTCTCGCAGATTCCGGATTCCTGTTAAAGCCATGACCATGCCCCTTTTAGACATTTGGCAATGAGTTTCAACGATGGTTGGTGCATATCAATCCCAGTGGTATTTCTGATACCAAAGAGCCCCTAACTAATATTCATACCCAAATGGGAAGAAGCCGACCAAGCATTTTGTGGAGTTGAAGACCCAGAACGTCCACCCCAAAGCGATACCCCTAAGGGAAGCGATCCATCTCTATGTCCATCTTACAGCATATTATCCAATGGTAGCCAGGGGTTTCGGAGAATAAGGAAGCCTGCCAGCACTCAGCACCCCCAACGTCTTTTTCCCATGTCCAAACCGCCAAGCACTGTCCAAAAAAGAGGTAGTTGGGGTGCTGGTGGCTACCATTCTGTGGCATAAACAAAGTTTGGTTGCTTGTCTGGGCCAGCCGCTCGATCGGAAGCGAGAAACTGTAGGGCTCATATGGCACCCTTCTCACCAAGACAGCTTTGGACAGAAATCAAAGGCGCCTTTTTTGGGTTCCACCGATCGCTGCCGATCTCCTTTTTGGGGGTACCAAAAATCGCCCCGGGTTTTTCACAAAGACCTTAGCAAACGTTGGGGATGCATTCCATACTGCACGAAATCCATTTCGCACCACTTTAGAAGCCCAGGAATGATGATTCTGCCGAAAATAGCAAGAAGCAACGGTTTTTCAACCATGGTTTCTTCCATTTACTCCAGACGTTTTTTCCCCTGGTGGTTTCAATGGGAATCACTGCTGGAAAATATGTTTTCGTTTTTCCGGGGGGGGGCTTAAACGATGGAAAGTTTCAGTGCGTGGTGCGAGGATTTCCTCCATCAGCTCCATGCCGAGGGGGCGAAACCTGCGGTGCGAAGAGCGGCGGATTCGACGGCACCCAGCCGAGCGGATTTGACCTCCAGCCGTGTCGGCAGCCCAGGGTGGGCTAGGCGAAATGGGCTGAAACTACACGACTGGGGGTTCAGGGAAGCCAAAAAGGGGTGCACAACCCCATTTGGCCGAGAAAGTCGAGAGTTTGCCGTCGTTGGTTGGTTTTGGGGGAAGTGGCAAGGTGACATTTAGATCATTTAGAGCATCCTCCCCGCACTTTCCTGGAATGGGGGCCTCCCCCAGCAAAGTGAGCCTTCATACGTTTGGGGTTGTCAAAGCATGCCGCTTGGACCCTGGTGCCGCCGTGTGACCCTGGCGCCGCCTTGTGACACCTTTTCAAGGGGATACCAAGGGCCTCTCATTTGGACAGACGAGTATCCCTCAAGCCACGGAAGACAGTCTCCCAGAACTGCTCAGGCTGGGTCGAGCCGAAGCCGACAGAAACTTCCGAGCCAGAGCCGGAAGACAGCGCCTTTGAACGCAGATCGGTGTGTCGTTTAATGCTACCTTTGATTAAGGCTTCTTCAAAGGGAGGCCATGTTCCCTGTAAACCAACCCCTAAAAGGGTACCCGCCAAAAAAGACAGACCCAAATATCTTTGTGTTTGGGTGCCCTCAAAGGGAGCTACACTTTTGAAGGTCTTTCTCGAGCCTGCGATGGCTCCCCTTCCCGGTAAAAAAGACAAGTGGAAGGCGAAACATCCATCTGAAAATTGGGCCGATTTCGGGTCGCTCAGTCATGAACTTCAGATGCGATCCCCCCCGACCCAGCTCAAGGGCTTGACATGGTCTCTTTTTTGGAGGGTCCACAAATTAGGCTGGGATTTTCAGGGGATCCATTTGTTTTGAACAGCCCATGAACCTGTTGCGGAATAGTGGTCTCTGGGTGGAAATGCTCGGCGTGAGATTTTGACGAGCCCAGCACGTGTTGGGAGTTTCTTGCAAAAAAGGGTAACTTATGGCAACTCAACTTCTACGGCTTGATTCCCCATTTCACCCATCCTTCGGTTCAGTAATTACCCTTCTTCTCAGGTTTTGAGCCATTTGAAGAGTAGGATCCCTGAGCAGAGGGAGCGTACGGCTAGACAACGAATCAAAGGGAACAACCCCCCTTTCAAGTCAAGTCGAGGTATCCCTTGAGAATACCCCAACTGATGCTGTACGGGTGCGGAATCAACAAGTCGGCAGTCCGAAGCTGGCCGAGCTTGAGGTTTGCTCACAAAAATATGGGCTCATGGCATTTTTCCCGAAATCATTGGTGTCCTCTTGGTGTAGCCTCAAAACGCTCGATTGGGAGCCCTGCCATTTCCAGGCACAACTCCCTCCGGCAGCGCCTCCTCAGATGTGTCTGAAAGGCAAGCCGTGCTCCCACCTCGAAGCGCGGTTCGACGGACAGGACTTGGGTCCGAAAGGCGGCTTCCTTTTGATCACCCATGTCCTTAATGGCCAAATTGTGTGTGTGTGGTTTGTTTTTATGGAGCCCTGAAGAAGGAATGGTCATCGTGGTTCATTGAGGTCCTCTTCACCAGTCTCCCAGAAACATCTTGCTGCAAATACATTGCTCGTTCCTTGCAGGTACCCTTCTCTTCAACTGGCACAAAGGGAGAAGAACTGGTGAAAAGTGTGAAATCAACGCAGAAAATAAACACTGGTTCGGACACAGCAAGAGACTCGTGCCCCTTTCTCCGCTAGTTCGGATCATGCCACATACTCGCCTGGCGTTTTCGCAAACATGTACCCTCAACAAGTGGCTTGCTTCTTTTTGGTTTGCCCTTTGAAACTAACCAACGTCCAGAATATAACCCAGTGGGTTCCTTCTGGTTTTCATTTCGGACCGAGCAAATGGTGAGGCCCGGGTCCCTCCGCATCGCGCAGGCCGGTGGATCAAGCTGGCGAGATCATGAAGAGCCGCTTGTCTCGAGTGATGGGTTCAACAGCTCCTTCCAGCTTGGCTCAAAGGGAAACCAAAGGCAAACCGCCCATTTTTGGGCCGGACGATGAAGGGAAATGAAGGGGACCCTGCTTCATCTGGGCTCGCAGATCACATCATACCTGTTGAGGTTCAAGAACTACTGTGGATGGACGAAATCCTGCACCACTTTGACACCATGGGAAGCCAGTATTTGTTGGTATTTATAGGGGAATCATCAGAAACCAGCGTTTCTTAGGCGGTGCAGGATTTCGTTCATCCACAGTATGAAGAGGAGTCAATAAACATGTCATTTTGGTTGGGCGGCGAATGCTGCAGCGTCTTGGATGCGACATTTTGGCCTGCCAGGTCTGGGCATCTTGAAGGACAGCACCTCATGCGATCCGCAAAGAGGTGCCGAATACGCTCAAGCGCCCAGTGACTCTGGTTGGTATCTCATGTTGGTTCCAGCCGCCAAGGTCCAAACAGTCTCGAGAGACAAACTTCAATTACAGGTCCCGTTGTTGTTGTTTTTTCTTTCTCCGAAACCGTTCCAAAACCACCAACTCCTTTTGCGTTTGTCTTTTTGCGAGGGGTCAACTTGCTATGGAGGCTCGAGTGCTGGCAACCCTGAAGATGCGCATTTGCCAGGCGCTCCTTGCACTTCCGAAGATGGAGGCAACAAGAATGCCGGCGCCAAGGCGCGGCGCCAGTTGCACAAAACCACAGGGATTCGACGGGGATCCGGAGAGTGACCTCCACATCTGTTCGTGGGGCACGCAGATCTGTTCTACGGCCAAGCCGATTCTTCTGAGCACGCGCGGCACCCGGCGCGGATTCGCTTGAATGTTAGTTCGTTGGACCTTTCTTTGGCCTTGGCCTCAAGCCTGTCAAAAACAAGCAATGAGGAATTTGTTGAACCAGATTGATGCACCTGGTTGATTTTCATGGGGTGTCGGTGTTGTGTGTCCTTGTTTGGATGGCATTGCGGAGCCCCCACAGCCCTAGGACGGGTTTGTTCGATCCGAGGGGCTCCAGCACCGAGGTATCCGAGCACTGCATGGGGCCGTGCCAAGGGTCAGGAAATCCTCCAGCTGCCCGCGGCCCGAGCGAGCGAGCGGAGCCACCGGTGGCTGTGGTGTTTTTGAGGGTTGGAACCACCTCAACTGCATTTACTTAAGGATGTGCTGGTATTTCCCTTGTTGGTTTTAAAGGGCACTTATCACTACTGGAAACTGTCTTGTTGTTGCTTTCTTTTCCACAGGGACTTGGGCAAATTGAGCTTGGTGGACATGAATCCCCTAGATGAATTCCGTCAAAGGGACCCTCATGAATATCCGTGCAATAGAAACCAGGGTTGAGTAGGTTACTAGCTCAACCTGGACGGCGATGGATTGGCGCAATCAGGGTCCTTCAAAGGAGTTGAGGGAACCACAAGGCGGTTATTTAAACCATCGATGGTGAGTGTGTCTTAAAATGGGGGGGAGTTTCCATGGCTGGTGTCCTTTCGGTTTCCTTTGAAGCCAACCCAACAAGGGAGGGGGTGGCCCAACCTGGGAGCTTGCGTTTTCACTTTTGAATTGTAACCAGCCCATCAAGTGAAACGAGCGCAAACTTACTCGGATTCCTGATTGTGCGGATGAACTACAGCGTCCTGTGGAAAAATGAATGATTGGCTTCGCTGTTATTGGTAAGTTGTTTGGTTTGTTGGTTCTGTATTTTGTACGGGCTGCAGATAATCGTCAGTTTTTGCAACCATACCAAGGTGAAGTTGGAACTGAATTGAAAGCAGTGCGATGTATAGAAAAGCTTGACCTGGACTAGGCACCTAGCCTTAGTATGGGCGCAAGGCTGACCGCCGTTTGCAATTCGAGTTATGCCCAGGCTGCACACTGAAACTCCGGACAAGGACATCAATCACTGCCAGGCTGTGGGAAGAGAGAACAATATATGGCCATGGGTCAAAAGCTCGTACCCCCAGTGAGCATCCCAATCCCCACTAAAGTAGGGTGGTGCACCTTTCTCAAAATGGGATCCCATGGGTTTAGACAACCATATGGGTGTGTCTTGGTAAAGGGGATCCTCAACAATGGGCGGTGTCCCTTGTGCTTCCCTTCAAAACCGCCCAAAAAAGGCACCATCCACAAAAAGACACACCCATACTTAGTGTTGAAGACTGATCCCTGTTTGGCCAATCACTTGGAGTTTTGACTTTTGCCATGCCATGGGAAGGGTTTCCGCCGGACACGGCAAGGACCAGGATGGAAAGCATTCCAAGGAGCACTTCGAAGTGCAGAGCTCAAGGAATCCGCGAAAATCTCCGCTCGTTGCTGCGCAAATCCTTCCTGGTGACTCAAATGGCTCATGGGCAGTTGCCCTTGAAATTGACTGGTGGACACCAATCCCCCTATCTAGATGTACGCCCAAAGGGTTCCCAATTCATATTGTGGGATGCGAGTATGGTGTGTGTGTGTGTGTGCGATGTTCCCTCAGGCTTCTAAATTGGCATGCCTAGATAGCCAAGTTGTTGCTTTGTTGAATCACTGTTGCTGGTTTGGGGGGGAAAGTGCATGAACAAAAACAAGTGGCGATCCAGGTGTCTCGGAAGACAGCTTCGGTGCGTTGTGCAGGACATGGTCTGATGGGCAGCGCAAAAGGCCGGGCCCCCGTTGCATCGATGCAGTTCACAAGGCAGGGCTTTCAAGGTGAGACGAAAACCCCGGGTGGATTTCTCCCCGAATGTTCACCTGAATCAACCCCAGTTCAATAACAGGGCATCGTCTAATAGTGATGATTCCCCACCAAACCCAGGCAACACCCCCATAATAAGTATTAATAAAACCGGGGTTGAATTGAATATGGGGTCAACATTATAAGGGGGGTGGGGGCATCTCCAATAGTGGTTCCCCACCAAACCCAGGGACACCCCCCAAATGAATACACAGGGTTCATGTATGTGGGATTGTAGGTCTACCTTCGGGTCCCAAGATGGATTTCTGTCATTGACTCAGGTCTCGAAGCAAGCGACATTGCTGCAACATTGTCCTGTACATGCCGAGAGATTATGTGCCCGCCATCATTGGAAAGGGAGGCTGCTACACCAAGGCACGCGACGGGCCAGGATGCCAGGATGCCAGTGGGGTAAATGAGCAGGTTCTAGGGAACCTGCCCTGTTTGGTTGATTTCGAAGGGAAACCAACAACAGAAAACTGGCCATGTTTGGGGTCTCATCATTTTGGGAAATGCTCATGTTGGACAATCCTGTCTTCAGAAGGCAGCAAATTGTGCTTGCTAGTCAACAAGTTTGGCGTTCTCGCCGAATCGCCGAATCACGCGGTTGGTTGGTGCACCGCTCGCAGGACGTGTTGTTCGTTGGTTGCGGTTTCTAAGATTTAGAGACGCCACTCACCCCCGGTGACCCAATTAGGGAATTTCTAAGGGGGGTGGAGGGGGGTCTCCTAGGCTAGCCCGAAGGAGTTCTAGGGAACCCTAGAGAACCTTGAGTTAACCCCGAAAGGTGCTCTTTACCCACCCCTCTTGTACTTGCCCTTTACCCTGAATAAAATTCCATCCTCCGAACCACCACTAACCCGGTAACAGCCACTTGAGGGAACCATGGTGAACAAAATGGTGCAACTGCCCCCCTTGTACCCACCACCCAAGCCATCGTTGTTTTCTCCGTTGCAGACCTGCACCCACTTGCGATGCAAGCCCCATCCATGTCACTTTGTGACAAGACAACCATGGCCATTGATTTGGAGGCTGAGGGAACTAACGGAAACAAAACTACCAGCGAGAGGGAACCGCAAACAAAAACCTTGAAACTCGAGAGACGCAACTGTACCCACCACCCAAGCCCATTCCTTTGGAGGCACAACCATGGCCTGATTTGGAGGCGGAGCCCTAACAAACCCTACAAAACCTTAAGAAGCCCGAAATTGGGCTCTCTACCCCCTCCCCGCCGTTGCCCGTTGCCCATGGGATCGATTGCATCCTCCAAGCCATGGAGGCCATCTACGAGAGCACTGGCTGCAAGGTCCGCGTCCGCGGCCGCGGCTCCGGGCACCTGGAGCAGTCCACGCAGGCGGAGGCCCCCACCCCGCTGATGCTGGCCGTGACGGCGGAGCACGCCCCGTGGAAGCGCAAAAAAAAGACGAACCGAAGACGAAAGGCGTTAAAACGGCCCCCGGTGAAATAAATCGCCACGCGAAAAAAGACGTGCTGCCTGAGTTCCTGGACTTCAAGCTTTTTGTTCCTGGACTTTAGTCACTTTTTGGGTTTGGACCGGGTTTAGTGGCAAATGAAATGTTCAGAGCTTGTTTGACCAATCCACTTGGGAAGTGAGCAAACCGAAGTAGATGAAAGGGATAGTTGAATGAGAGAAGGCCACCTTGAAAGACACATGGTTCTGGGTAGACCATTTGAGTGCCAGGTTTTGATGGTGACTCATACGGGATCAATGTCGCACCACGAAACGAAATGATGGGGAAAACCAGTGTTAGCGTTCGTTGTCATTTACAGGAGAATTGAAGCAGAAACCTGGGTTTCTTAGGTGGTGGGTTTGTCTCGCAATATTGGGTGCCTGCAGTCATGTATATACGAGACGTACACCCCTTTTCAGATCAGAAATGCGCGCCCCTACATGGTAGCCCTAAGGGGTGGCACCGTGGCCAAGGACGCTGGTAAATCCTCATTGAGGTATAAGACCTCCGGGCGGCTGCTCTAAGACCCTTCAGACAGGGCGTGCATGGCACAACCTGGCTTGCTGGTCGACCCCATACACGCCTCAGGACCTTCAACGGCCGGGATGAGGACTGGGTGACCTGGGCATTAGTGGCCAGAACCTCCTGAGCATGGAGTTTGGAAACCTTCTGCAATCAGCAGAGGCAGTAGCCACAGCTGCAAAGTGAACTGGCAAAAGGCCATTCGTGAACCCTCTTCAACATCCTCACGCAGTCAGTGGAGGGCAAGGCGTTGTCAGCGATAATGAATGCTGAGGCTGGCGATGATGCTGGACACCTACGAACCCAAGGTTGGTGGCTGGTATGCCAGCATGCTGATGGACGGACTGGAGCAGAACTTCAGAGGCAGACTTTCTGAAATAGCTGGAAGAATGGGAAGTGAAGTGTGCTGTCGTGATGAAGCACGCTCCTCCCAACATCAAGATGGTTTTGAGGACCAGTTCATCGGCCATCGGGACGAGCTACGAGAAGATCAAGAAGTGCGTCAGGGACTACCTGCAGGCTGGAGCTGAGTTCATAGTTCAAGGCATCGAGACCAGAGACAACTCGGGTGCTGGAAGTCCAAAAACAAGGTCAAGAACAAGACCAAGGACAAAAGGAAGGACTTCAAGGGCAGTTCAAATCTGGCAAAAAGAGCAAGGACGAAGGCATCAGCAAGAAGTTTGACGGTGCGTGTGAAATTATGGCAAGTATGGTCACAAGAAAGCAGAATGCCGCAAGCGAGAGTATGACTCCAAGCAGAAAGGCGAAGGCGGCAAGAGCAGGGCAGTGTGCTTCAACCTTGTGGATGACCCGATTGAGGACTGTTTGGACACCATAGATGGCATCACAATCCCAGGTGAGATGGTTGCACAGGTAAGCCCCAATGTCCAGAAGAACAGCATCTCTGCAGGCAAGATGCTCAAGCAAGGCTTCAAAACCTACATCGACCCGCATGGTAGCTCATGTTGCTCCTGGAGGTGGACAAAAGATCCCACTCTACCTCAGAGGCAACACCTTCTGCCTCAAGGTGAAAAGCATCAGGAGCATCCCAGCAGAGAGCGGCAGCTATGATGCGGTGGTCGCACCGCTAAAGCAAGATGGTGGAGCAGCTCAGGACTGGGAGAATGTTGGCCTAAGATGAGTGAACAAAGACGTCGCGAGAGCTTCGAGCACCACCACCACCAACGCAGGCTGAAAGATGGGCGCATGAGTTGACACACCTTCCAACAACTCCTTGGTGTCAGCATTGCATCATGGGAAAGGGTAGAGACGATGACCAGCAGCCCAGAAGAACCTGAAAGGTGACCTGACAAAAGTTTGAAGGAGATGTACGACGTCAATGACAGTTTGGCCATGACCATTAAGGGGCACGCAGCTTTCCTGAGGAGCAGGTATGGCATAAAAAGGTCTGGCAAGACAGCCTTTGAGGAAACGCTTGGACATTGCTGCAACGACATCATATGTCCATTTGGCAAGACCATTCTCTGCAAGCAACCACTCCACCATTCAGGCAGAGTGCAAGGAGGAAAGCAGCTGAAAGGTGATCTGAGCTGGAGGAAAAGCATCTTCCTGGGCAAGGACGTGATGAGCGACGAGTTCCTGGTGCGTGACAGCACTGGGGTTCACATGTCAGAACGGGGAGGAGGATGACCACAGAGCTTAGGCGCAACAACGAGCTCTTTGGCAAGATCAAAGGAGCCCCATGAAACATCATGACCAAGATTGGCAGGATCAGGAAATCAATATAGTGAGAATTGCAGGAGACCAGCCACACAGGCAACTCTCAGAAAGGGCCCAAAGATGGTCAGAGCATCAGCCACACCAAGAGCAGTAAGGGTGATGGAGCCTGGAGAAGAGGAATCCAAGAAGCAGAAGCTAGAGAGTGAGGAGGCCCAAGCAGCAACCAACCAGCCCTGATCAAGCTCGAGAGCGAGAGCGGTCGAGGTGAATCCATGGTTCCTGCACAGGCACTAGCACGGTGGAAGAGGCTCAAAGCCAGAGCCCAACAGAACGCAAATGATGAGGAGTGGATTGATGAGCTGGAGTATTACCCATGGCAAGCTGGTGCTGGACAGCACATGGGTGGTCACCAGGAAACCCACAAAGGAAGTCAAGGCAATGTACTGCCTCAGAAAGTACAAGAAGAACAGCACCAGGGCAGATGTCTACAACCACAAGTGCCGCAGGAAAGATCATTGACCTGATCGGTGTGAGGTCGGGCGACCTTTTCTTCACAGCAGACGCCACCAGTGCGTTTTGGCAAGTTCCCATCAAGGAGGAGTGCTACATGATTCCACCGAAGGAACCGTTTGGGAGAAAGGTGATGCGGAAGCTCAAGGGTTTGGTATGGTCGGCGTGTTGCACCTGGCACAGGCCCCGTTGGTGGCATGGATGATCATTACCCTCATCTACGTAGTGGTGATCAGCAGCATCAAGATAGGCAACTCGTTGTGTGACAAGGAGCGCCAAAGACCTTGGAGGAGGAGATGAAGTTGAAAGATGCTGGAGCAGGGGGGCACAAGCCTTGGCGTGAGAGAATGGAGACGAGGCAGAGATCGAAAGCCGGCTGAACCGCAGACAGAAATCTTCATCAACGCCTGCGGCAACGTCTACCAGAGTGCCACTATTTGGTGGGTAAGACACCCAGCAAGTTGCGCTGTTGAAAATAAAGCGTGCAAAGACAGGCAACAACGCCTGCGTCTTTTCCCCGTAGCCCTTTTTATAGATCAGAAACGCGCGCCGCCCCCGCCCCTGCCCCCAAAATGAATGTTGTTCTTTTGGAAGAAAACACCCATATGGGCGTTCCTTTCTTGGGGGTCCTTGTTTGGGCGGCTTCAAAAGCAAGGATTAAAAGAAAACCGATGTCCACTTTTGGTATGCCCGTTTTGGATTGGTTTTAAACCAAAGCCACTTTGGGGGGGGTTCTGGGTTACGCAAGGATTTACCACCCGTTTGTAGTAGTTTCAGCCAACAAAGATGATTGGCGTTGGGATTCCCATCCTTTAAAGGCGCCAGGATTGTGTTTCTTTTTGAGGGTTGAGTTGGTCTATGGCACCCTGCAAAGTGTGGGTTGCACAGTTGGATGCTATCAGCCCAGAAGTATCAGATCAATGTTCACCAGAAGAACCAACATTTGATGACCCGCTATTTGACAACCCAGTACAACCTGTTTCCCATTTGTCGATGCAACAGAAGGCTGACTTGAAGTGCCGTTTGGCAAAGGCCGCCAAGAATGCATGTTGAAATGGCACGCTTTCCAACCCCCTCCTTTCTCTTGTTCAGGATCCATTTTTAAATGTGTTTGCTCGGAGGCATTTAGACACCTCCTTTGGCCAACAAACTGCAACTCCTCAACCACTCAAGCCAGCCCCCGGACCAATCGCCCCAAAGAGCCCACAACCCTAGACCAAAAGTAGTAACACAGCTTCGCGCCACAATATTGAACATACCAAAAAACACAACCAACACACAAGCCCAGCTATCCCAACAGCCCCCCTCAAACAGAGATGTGGGCAGGAACTGCTTTTAGCTTTCCAGGGATAAAAAATCAAAGCTGCGCTGAGGACAACATGGAGGGTTTTGTGGAGGCGGTGCGTCTGAGTTTCAGCCACCTGGCCGCTGTGGAGCAGAGGTTCCTGGCGGACTACCAGTGCGAAGCGGGCTGGGAGAACTCGTGCTTCTCCGCAGTGGTGGAGGCCTGGTGTGCGGTGGCTACCGGGGGGTGGGGCTGGGGTGGGGTGAGGCTGGGGGTGGGCTGCGGAGGTTCCCCGGATCGTAGCGAAGTGATGGGTAAGAAATGGAAATGGAATGAACCCAGGCGATGGGAAGGAGAAATGGAATGAACCCAGGCTTTGGCCCCCATACAGGGAGCCGGATGGGAAGGTTTTTCTTGGGGTCATTCCATGTCTTATTCTCAGCCGAGAATTCACGACCCCTAGGCGATTTCGACGGTTTTGCGGTGTTTGCTTTAAAACAATTTTTCAAATTGCATCAGGTGGACCAACAAAACCTTTCAGCTGCACACCCTATGGGCACGGTTGCCTCGCTCTCCAAGCCTGAAGACACAGCGCAGCTGGATTCCTAGCAAAGCAGCTTGTTTTTGGATGTCTTGCATTCTAGTTTCATCGGAGGTCAGACTCAGGGCGGCTCCATATTGGGTCAAAATGCCCAGCTGAAAAATCGTGCAGGATGATGAGGACCGAGAGGAGCTAACGCGCCGCCTCAGCCGGACGTTCCTGAAACTCATCAGCAAACCCTGATTGGTATCGGCTTACATGCATTTCTCTCGGCCGAATGCCTTGGTCCTGAAAAAGAACAACAGTTCAGCGCCTCATTTGCCCGCCCGTTTTTGTTTGTGCTGTCGAATTTTGCATGAGGGCAAGGTGATTACGGCCAAGTGCATGCTATCACAAACACAATTTCATCAACTGCATGTGTCACCCGGAATGTGTGCAACTGGGGTAGCTCGGCAATCCAAATTTGATTTTTGGGCCGTGGAAGCTGTGGAAGTTTGCAGAGTGATGGTTGATGCCGTGACCCCTCAAATGTTTGCATAATTGTAGTTTTACCTGTACAGAGCATCGGCATTTTGAACTGGAAAGGCTGAACATTGGAAAGGATAGTGTTAATAACAGATGGATTCTAATAGATAAGGAAATTTAGAAAAACGAAACTTACGATTGATTTAGGTTTTGTGTGGACATTTGATTTCGAGGTTGCATTTGAAAAGATTAAACACATTAAAAAATATTGATGGTTCATAATATTGAGAAATAAGAAAAACACATATACGTGTATATATATACATTCACATATGTGTATGGTTATGGTTTAAATTGGGTAGTGTGCTTATTGAATTAAAGATTTGCATTTTACATTATATATGTATGTGTTTTATTTTATAGATATCTATATATGGAAAATTGAATAATATGATACATATATATATATATATATACACGAGAATGATTCTATGTTTAATGATTGATTGGAAAATTCTCCTATAAACCGGTGTGGCCTCGGGGTCGTTTCCCGTGCACCGCAGGGCCGCTGCAGCGGTATTCCGGCCGAATCGTCGTGCTTGCGGCGCTCCGCGGCACCAGCTCCTGCCTCTTAGCGCGGCCCGGAAGTCCCCGAAATTTTGCCGAAATTTGGGGGGGCTTCGGATCTTCGCTTGGAGCTCTCGCGGCATAACCCGGCCAAATTTTCCCGAATTTTGGGTCGCTTCCGGCGACCCGATTCTCAAAATCTCCACACGTTACCCCCTCAAATTTCCGTAGCAGAATTTGGCGGCTTTCCGAAAAACTAACAGGTCAAATTTGCGGGATTTTGGGACCTGTGCGGATCCAAAGTTTCTCGAAAATTTCGGGCTTTGCCCTCTTTCCTTTCTTTCCTTCTTTCCCTCTTTTCCTCTTAAGAGACAAAGAGACAAAAAGACAGAGTAACAGAGAGACAAAGAGATAGAGAGACAGAGGAGAGAGAAAGAGACAAAGAGAAAGCGGTAAAGAGGGAAAAGAAGGAAGAGGGAATAGGGAGAAAGAGGGAAAGGGAAAGAGGGAAAGAGGGAAAGAGGGAAAGAGAGAGGGAAAGAAGGCAGAGAGACAGAGACAGACACGCAGACACAGACACACAAAGAGACAGAGAGACAGAGAGAGAGAGAGAGAGGGTTGTCTGTCTGTGTCTGTCTGTCTGTCTGTGTTTTTCTGTCTCTGTCTGTCTGTGGCTGTCTGTCTCTGTCTTTCTGTCTGTCTCTGTCTTTCTGTCTGTCTCTGTCTGTCTTTGTCTGTCTGTCTCTGTCTGTCTGTCTGTGTCTGTCTGTCTGTCTCTGTCTGTCTGTGTCTGTCTGTGTCTGTCTGTGTCTGTCTGTCTCCGTCTGTCTGTGTCTGTCTGTCTGTGTCTGTCTGTCTGTGTCTGTCTGTCTGGCTGTCTGTGTTTGTCTGTGTCTGTCTGTGTCTGTCTGTTTGTGTTTGTCTGTCTGTGTCTGTCTTTGTCTGTCTTTGTTTGTTTGTGTCGGTTTGTGTCTGTCTGTTTTGTTTGTCTGTTTGTGTCTGTCTGTCTGTCTGTGTCTGTCTGTGTCTGTTTGTGTTTGTCTGTGTCTGTCTGCGTCTGTTTGTTTGTGGTTGTTTGTTTGTGTTTGTCTTTGTCTGTCTTTGTTTGTTTGTGTTGGTTTGTGTTTGTCTGTTTTGTTTGTCTGTTTGTGTTTGTCTGTTTGTGTTTGTTTGTGTCTGTCTGTGTCTGTTTGTTTGTGGTTGTTTGTTTGTGTTTGTGTTAATATTTGAGTTTGTATTTATAGATGTTTTTTCGTGAATATTTTTGCTCGTGGTTTGTATTTGTATATGTTTTTGTTTGGTTGTTTGATTGATTGTGTATTTATTGATTTATTTGTTTGATTATATGATTATGGTTAAATGGGTTTGGTTTGTGTATTTATTGGCATTTGGTTTTTATTTGTTTTAATTTTTTATTTATTTATTTCATTTGTTTATTTTTTGTTATTTGTTTTTGTTTATTTATTTTGATTTTATTGATTTTATTTGGTTTTATGTATTTTTGATTATTAATATATATATATATATATGTATTTGTTTATTTTTGTTTGATATTATTTGTTTTTTTATTTTTGTTTGATTTTATTTTGTGTTTGTTTATTTATTTTTTTACATCTTTGTATGGGGTTCGTATTTTTACTGTTCCGCGCCCGCCGTCCGCTGTTTGGCTCCGCTGTTCGTCGTCCGCTCCGCCGCCCCCGCCGCATACTCACTCACACTTACTATCTCACACTCACTCACACAGACTCATTTACACACACTCACTCACACACACTTACTCATTCTCACTCACTCACTCACTCATTTACCCGCACAAAATCACTCACTCACACACTCACTCATACACACTGACTCACACACAGATAGTCACACTCACTCATTCACACACACTCACTCATATATACACACATACTCACACACACTCACTCACACACACTCACTCACTTACACTCACTTATACACACTCACTCGCATTCACTCACACTCACACTCACTCACTCACTCACTCATGGGGGTAGCATTTGGGAGCTGTTTAAAGGGCTGGGGTGTTGTCGCACGCGCGGCTCGGGGGCTCGCGAAATCGTGGCAGGCGTAGCCGATGCCGAAGTCGTGGCAGGCACAGCATTCTGTGCATCTGAGCATGTGTTTGCGTGGCAGGGGCAGCATTTGGTAGCTGTCTAAAGGGCTGGGATGTTGTCGCGCGCGCGGCTCGGGGTTCGCGAAATCTTGGCAAGCGCAGCACTTTGGAGATACCATTGCCGAAGTCGTGGCAGGCGCAGCATTCTGTGCATCTGAGTGTGTGTTTGCGTGGTAGGGGCAGCGTTTGTCAGTTATCTAAAGGGCTGGGATGTTGTCGCGCGCGCGGCTCGGGGCTCGCGACATCGTGGCAGCCATAGCATTTTGAAGATGTCATTGCCGAAGTCGTGGCAGGCGCAGCATTCTATGCATCTGAATGTATGTTTGCGTGGTAGGGGTAGCATTTGATGGGATGTTGTTGTGCGCGCGGCTCGGGGTTTGCGAAATTGTGATAGGCGTAGCACTTTGGAGATGCTATTGCCGAAGTCGTGGCAGGCACAGTATTCTATACATCTGAGTGTGTGTTTGCGTAGCAGGAGCAGCATTTGGCAGCTGTCTGAAGGGCTGGGATGTTGGCGCGCGCGACAGCACTTTGGAGATGTCATTGCGGAAGTCGTGGCAGGCGCAGTATTCTGTGCATCTGAGTGTGTGTTTGCGTGGCAGGGGCAGCATTTCGCAGCTGTCTAGAGGGCTAGGATGTTGTCGCGCGCGCGGCTCGGGGCTCGCGAAATCGTGGCAGGCGCAGCACTTTGGAGATGCCATTGCCGAGCGCGGCTCGGGGCTCGCGAAGTCGTGACAGGCATAGCACTTTGGAGATGCCATTGCCGAAGTCGTGGCAGGCGCAGCATTCTATGCATCTGAGTGTGTGTTTGCGTGGTAGGGGTAGCATTTGCAGCTGTCTAAAGGGTTGGGATGTTGTCGCGCGCGCGGCTCGGGGTCCACGTCTGGCCCCAAGTCATCCAGCAGGCCAAGCCCCTTCGGCGCAGTCTGGGACTGGTCTCAAAGTATGCCAGTCTGAGACTAGCCTCAGGCCCATTCCCTCAGCCCGCCTGCTGGCGTGTCTTACGTGTCTGCGACTGGCCTTAGGCCCAGCCTAGCCAGCAACTCGTCACCCAGCCTCAGGCCCAAGTGTGTATGAAACAGACCTTGCCCATCCAGCAACCCGCCCAAGCACAGATTTGTGGGGTTATTCGGCCCTTTAATTTTGTTTGTTTTATTATTTATATTTATTTTATAAATTCTTATTATCTAAATTAATGAATTTATATTAGAATTGTTTTCGCAAAATTATATATAAATTAAATCGCTGGAATTGGATTAAATAGTTATATGTAATTGCTTCCGTAAAAAGATTGGTAATTTATAGTGTAATTCAATCTAAATCTTCAAGGATATTATCCATAACATAGAATCGGGAAATAAAATCTCGTCTACCCACAACCCAGCGCCACTTTAGGCACGGAGATTATCTCCGAAAACGAAACCCAAATTAAACATACAAAAAGGGCCGAAAATCTCGCTCTGAAAGACATAAATTCCTCGTAACTCAAGGAATGACAACTCCACTAAACACAAACTAAGGGAAATAGTCGAAAAGGACATTGCCATGCATCAGAAATGATCGAAGCATTCATCGAAAGCAATAGACAAAACCAAGGAAGTCAATTTCTTATCCTTGGAGCACACCTTCAAACTCACCTATTTATATTTAAATATTTATTGAATTGGATTTATAAAATTTAATTTAAAATAAATATGTTTTAATTTTAATTTTTAATTTTAATATATTATTATATATAATATAATATATTCTTTATATTTATTATATTTATAGTTTATATATATAATATTATAGTTGTATATAAATAGATGAAATTTCATATTCGATATATTATATTTAATTTATGAAGTATTAATTCTATTTTATGAATTTTCAAATTAAGTATTAATTAAAAATATTTCTATAATATTTTACGAATATATAAATATATTGATTTTTAATAATATATTATTAGATTTAATATATTAAATCTATATTTTTCGAAATAATTATTATTATTGATAATAAATATCTAATTATATAAAATATTGAAATATAATTATATTTTTATATATTAATTATATATTTATATATAATTTATATATTTATATTTTAAAAATATATATTTAATATATTCGATTATAAATTAGGATTTTTTAATTAGACTATATATTTATAATTTAATATTAAAATTTATGTTTAATAAAACTTATATATAAGAATTAATTGAATATATTGTGCTAAAAAAATATTAAATTAAACATAAATCTCAAATATTAGACACTAGATTTCATTATTCTTCATTAACTAAAATTTTAGAATCTTAATCTATATAAATTCCGAGATGGTCCGCAATCGACCCTAAAATAAGATTCTATAAGAAATTCATCAAAATTCATTTAGAAAACACCATGTAATATTAAATTGATATTTATAAATATTTCCATTTTTGTAAAAAAAATATTATTTTGATTCTATAAAAAATAACAATTGAATAAATATTTGTATTTAAATATAATAATTCGAAAAATTCGTTTAAATATTATAGATATAATAATAATTAAATGAAATTTATATATTTATAAAAATTCAGATTAATTTTATGTTTATATAGAATAATAGTATAATATTTTAAATATATAAAGATTATCTAATTTTCCTTACTCCAAAATCGTCTTTCGTTTCGCCCTTCCACGAATCTTCCGCGATGCAGGTAAAACAACATATTCGAATATATATCTAAATATATATAATTTTTCGAAAAAGAAAATATAATAAATTAAAAGGAAGAGATAATATAAAAAACAAAAAATAGATTAGGAATGGAATGGGGACATAACAAAAAACAGAGGGAGAAAGACAAACACATATAAGAAATAAAACAATAGAATACCGGAGGGAGGAATACAATAACACACAATGAATTATATTATTTAAAGAAACTTACCACCTCCCATGCACGGCGATAAGAACAATTCCAGGAGCTTCGTTTTATGCAGTTTGTCCCCGAGCGAGAAAACAAATAACAACATCCAAAAATAGACACAAACAACATTTTATATTAAAACACAAGACGGGTAAACCAGCCCCGGTGCACGGCGACAACTACAATTCTATAAATATCATTTTATATATAATATCGTTTTGATCATTATTAAGAATTAAAAAACATTATAAATATTAAATAATAATAAAATACAAAATAGTAAAATTCAAAATTTCATTCCATAATAATAAATACATTTCCATAAAATATGTATTCGTTCTTCAATAATAATAACAAAATACAAACCATCCGAATTCAAGACTTCATTCCATAATGATCTATAAATTTCCCCAAAAAATCTATTCCCCCTTTCACAATCACAATACCAAAATACCAAATATATATTTTAATACAAATAATCTAAAAACAATCTATAATATAATAAACAAATTAATCCAAATTTTCAAATTAAAATATTCGAAAATATAAATAACAAATAAAATCGGGAAATCAAATATCGCCCATCCACAACCCAACACCACATTAAACACGGAGGTTGCATCACCCCGGTCCGAAACCCAAACGAAACACATAAAAAGACCTCTCTCAATGTCTAATCCATCCATATTTTCTCAAACAAAATAAACATAACCAATATGTTAAACCACATACTTATGCCGCAACTCATCCTTTATATTCATTTTTTATACATTAAATTATTTAAATCAATATTTTTTTCTATTTAATTTTAATTTACAATTTATAAAATAATTTTGTATATGTTAATATTATTAATAATATATATATATATATCAATATCAATATCCATATTTTATACAATTCTTAAATTAAAACAAAATAAATAATATATAGAACAAAATTAAAAAAAATACCTTATCCAACCAAATCATTATATTTAAGAAAAATAACAATACAAACCTTATTAAAAACATATCAAAATTTCCATATTTACACACTAATTTAACTATACGATTTACACACATCATTACGAAAAAATATATAATTTTCTATTTTCCCGAAAACATTACGAAAGATTCCTCCATATAGAATTCTTAGTCAATTGATGCAAAATAAGTTTCACGAAATCACCAAGATAAAAATTTCAATATATTTTAATCAACTTATACAGAATAGTTTATATAAAATCATCAATATAAATATATTAAAATAGAAATACTCACGCACAATTATTATCACAAAATGACTTACACAAATTACCAACATAAAAATACAAATCACCAATATAAAAATACTTATATAAAATCATCAACATGGAAATACTTACACAAAAGTACCAATGTAAAACCACCAATCTAGAGTTACTTCTGCAGAGCCAAATGCAAAGAATGCAAAAAATGAAATATATTGAGCTAGATATATAAAAATAAACGTATAGAATTAGGTATATCAAGTTAAGTGAAGTTAGGTGTAGAGGTTTTCGGCGTTAATAGCTATATAAGTTAAATTTACTAAATTAAATTAAATATTCAATATATAAGAAAAAAATGGTATTAACCATATTTTTAAGGCGGGGATATTGCCGACGATCGGGAATATAACTTTCTGTGGAAATGGCATAATCGAAGTGCAAAAACTCGATTGTTTTTGTATTTTTTTAAATTCCTATATAACCCTCTATGGAGATCCCCATAACCGAGGTGCAAAAACCAGGTTTTTTGTGTTTTTTTTAATATTCCCATACGATCCTCTACGGGTGTTTTTTGTAACGCCCATACGACCCTCTCTAGAGATCGATATAGTCGAAATACAAAAATTTGATTTGTTTTTGTATTTCTATCGATATCCATACAACCGTTTATATATAAAAATTTGTAGTATTTTCGTTTTTAATATTCCTAAATAATTCCTCTATGGAAATCGTATATGCTCTCATTATAGCACCATGCGAATTCTTTTTAATTTCGGCAAACCCTCTATGGAGATCATACATATCAAAACAACGCCATACAATTTATTTCGTGATTTATATACCTACTTTCGCAATCCCATATTCGTAGATTCAATTCCCCCTTAATCCATATCAATTTCGACTTAAAAATCGCAATGTTTAAAATATAATATATAAAACATATTCCCTTTAAAAAATCACAACTTTTAAATACAAATATAATATATAAAATACACTACCATAATTCCGACTAAAAAATCACAAATTTTAAATATACAAATTTAATATATAAAATACATTCCCATAACTAAAACAACTTACGCAAAACAACTTACACAAAGCATTTACACAAAACATTAATATAAAACAACTTACACAAACCAATTTACACAAAACACATATATATCTAATGCAAAAAATTTCATAAAACAATTTATTCATTATATTTATAAAACATAACTTATACAAAACACTTATAAACAACAATTTACAAAAAAATAATATACACAACAACCTCAAACAATATAATTTATGTAAATCAATTTCGTAAAAAATCGTATAATACCATTCATATAAACTACATTAAGAATTTATATATTATATATTTAAATAAATATATATATTTAAATAAAAAACAATTAGCCCAAAAATCCAACCACAAAAAAACCTTTTTATATCATCGCAACAAAATATATAATATTCAATATATAAAATCATATAAAATTTTTATCTCATCGTCTTTATAAAAATCAAAACGAATTATAAGTAAAAAGAAAAACAATTATAATAATAATACTTATACGATAACTACAATTTTCTGCAAAACACGCTCGTATAATTTAGGTCTATAAAATAACTCTGTGTGGCTTGGCTCTATAAAAGTTGGCTTTACGTAAGCTACTTTTTGCGAGTGGCTCTGTATAATTGACTCTATATAAATTGACTCTGTATATCACAATATTAATTTGGATGTCTATAACGCAGTATCATGTAATATATAAACCAGCCAAATTAATGAGGTCAAAACGAAGTCTTAACTAGGGCTAAACGAGTTGGCCAGAGGCAGCGTGCCACGGGAACGGCCCTTAACATTCAACAGCGCCTTCTAGAGTTGGGTGTAACACCGCGCTCAAAACCGGCACTCTCCAAAAACACAGCCTCCAGTCCGCTTGCAAAGTTCGCTCAAATCCCAATGGTATAACAACAAAATTTCTGCTCACACAAAATCTTGCCGCATGGAATTCAACTTCAACGCTAACCATAAAGGTGTAAACCCCCACCAGGACGCAAGCCGCACCGACTTCCTGAATCCTGCATGGCACACGAAGTTGGACGCAACCACACCGACTTTCACCGGAGAGTGTATCAAACCTCGTCCACGTATCTACAACCCAACACAACTTTAAACACTCTGGACTGGCTGTTTGACTGCGACCTAGCCATTTAAAGGCATGCAAGTTCCTTCATGGCTGTTGAGCCATTCCCCTGTCTTAAAAGATTGAAGTTCTTCGGCTGCTCGAGAAATCGATGTCAGCAAATCGTTGGCAAAGACAAAACAACAACACACCCAAAACAACCCCCAACAAAACAAAGAACTCCCCAACAAAACAATCCTCAACACAATCCATCTGCAGCCAGAAAAGAAAGGCGGATCATGGCTTTCCGGCCTATGAACTCGACTGGGACTCATAGTCGCACCTCTTTTAAATCGATTGCGGCTTCATGGCTGGTAGTGCGCATAGCTGCGAACGACAAAGGTTCGGCCACCAACCTGCACGATGGTCACAGGGTGTCCAGTACTTCGTGTTTCATCACATCACACCAAGGGGAAACTCACTTGGGTGTGGTTGTCAAAAAATAGGTACCCCAAATGTCGAACCCTGGCAAATGGAAACATGGACTCAAACCTGCGGTCCATATCCTCGGGGTGCGATTTTGACCCATCCCCACTCCAACTTTGCCCAAAAGGTGATGTTAACCAACCCTTCCAAGCACAAATACAGGGAACCTTGTGCGAGCGCAGCAATCCGTGAGAAGTTTGTACCACAAAAATCCGCGCCTCGTCGTAAGAGTGCTCCTCGCCTTTGGATGTTCTCAACGTCTCTTCACTTCTCTCCTGCTCTGACTGTCATTTGCCCAAAGGATCCACAAATACAAGGTTTACCCTTTGGGGCCACGAGGAACAAAAATCACCAACAAGGGGAAACTACAAGGTCCAAAGGTCAAGTGATGTACAAAGGCTTCCAAAAGGCGTCTCTGAGTCCTCGAACATCGCTAGGCTTTTGGATAAGCCCTCCAGCCGCATTTGCTTGTCCACCGCATCCTTGCAGGCCTCTCGTGCCACAGTGCAGTCTTTTTGGCGAACGATTCAGGGACCTGAACATCTGGTTGGACAACTTGCGCGGTTTCGCTTCCTTGCCAAAGTAACATGCGTGCCATGGTCAAAATTCCCTTATATGGCCTATGCTCATGATTCCCTTAACGGTTCTCAAGGATTCATATCTGAGCTAGGGACCAAGTTATTACCAGGTGGAGGACCAAAGGTGTCCTTTGACCATGGCACATGTGAGCCCTCTACCTTCATTGACTGAAAATCCGCGACAGAGCGAGCCCTTCCCACTAGGAATGTCCGCCCTTTTGGATGGCGTTCTCTGGGGAGAACGGAAACCATCCACCTCAGGTCCAACAAGGGCATGAGTTGAGCTCCTTTGAGGTTGGTCTAAACGGTCAAAGGGAACGCCTTTTGGGCTTCCCCTGTTTTCTGTTTTGACATACGCATAACTTCATACAGCGTATGTAGTCAGGAGGTGTTAAGGGTGCACCCTCACCAAGGGAATGGCTGCGATGCTGGGCTCCCTTCATTTCCGTGCCTTCATACGAGCCATCTTCAAACATAAGAAGTCCGTCTGTTTTTAACTTGATGGTTCAAACTCAGTTCCTAGCAACCAAGTTGATCAACAAATTGTCTGTGATCCCCTGTGAATCAACCCTAAACCTTGAATCCTAAACCTAAGTGCTGAAGCCTAAGCCCAGTTCAATCAACAACATGTAACTTCTAAACCTAAACCAACAGCCCGTTCTTGCCAAGCCAATATCTCATTTCAGGCTAAAATCCACGCCAAAATGGGTTTGTAATTTGAACAGGAATTCCCCGAACTGGGTGGTTTAACATTCTCCCTTGAAACCATCCCCCAAAAAAGAAACCACCGCAAACACGCCGTCATTCTTGTGGGCACTGTCTCTGAGGTTGGGAAAAAGAACGGGCCTCGAGTAAATCCTTTCTTCCCCAGCTGAGGCCATGGGGTCTCTGCCCAAATAAGATCTCTGGGCTCAAAATTCTGGGAGGCTTCCGGAAGGTTCCAAGCTGGCTGTTGGGGATACTCAAAGCCTTCTCAGGTCCAGGTTTTGGAGCTGAGGCTTTTGTTTTGCCAAACAACTTGCTGCGAAATTGGCAAGCAATGAGAAATGCCATGAACCCGTCTGAACCATCCAACTGGTGGTTTCCTGTATTCGGGAATCACACAAGGGTTCATTCCATTCCGCATTCCCTACTTTTCGCACCAGCGAGAAACCCGGACCCTGGGTACAAGTGGTCCACATCAACCTCCACTAGGTCCTCCAGTAGAGAGGTTAGAGTAAGGGTACCCTTTTTCCTGTACCCAAAACACCAAAAAAGAAAGGGTAAAAGGGCACCAATTGCGGGGGGGACCTAGTCCACACCTGGAGAAACCTCCCATGGCACATCCGCACAGCCTGGCTCACCTGCACGCGGCCCTCCGGCGCCGTGGATTCCAGGACCTCCACCTCGGTCATCAGCTTGCCGAAGAGGTGGTACCTGAGATGCCCCGTGTTTTTTGTCTCAAACAATTCCGAGTAGTTTCCCTTAAAACCAAGCAAAAGTTGTACCTGAGATAAGACTTTCGGAGTTTTTGCCTCAACAATTCGGGTTTCCCTTAAAACCAAGCAACAGGCGTGAGATTCTCGGTTTGCTTGCCTCAAAAAAAATCGGGTGGTTTCCCTAAACCAACCAAGCAAAAGGCGTAACTGTGTTTGAGACAAACCGAGGTCCTGCCGAGAGGGGGGCATGGCACCCGGTTTATAGGCGTCAACCTGGAGTAGTTCCTGCAATTCTTGCTTTCTGCCGGGTCCAGAAATCGCCTGGTTTTTCTTGTTTTGTGCTTGTTGTTGTTTTTTTTGGGTGGGGGCTTGAACAGGAACACCTCCATTTTGAGGGGTCCCGTTTTGGGCATCCCTTTCCAAAGGCTTGCTAAGCTCCAGTGAAGCGCCCCTTCGTGCAAGAAAGGACAAGTGACTTTGACCTTGGGTCACATGCTGGAAAACACCCTGTTCGGCGTGTTTTAAAGGAAAATCAAACGGAAAGCCCTCCCCACATAACCTCCTCTAACATTTCGAGCGGGAAACCCTCTAAATTTCAATCTACGATCAAAACCTGGTTGCAAAGGAGTCTTACCCGTAAAACTGTAAATCATAGTGAGGATTCCAGACCCTTTCTGATTTGTTGTCCTTTAACCTACACTCGTCCGGGCTTTGAATGGACAAGGCTCAAGGCTCCCTATTCCCCTTAAATCATCACCTAAACATGTGATGTTTAAAACCACTGTGCAGCTTTTGAGGCTGTTAAAGGAAAACTAAAGCTGTTGCGAAGTTGTGGGTGTCCCTCAAAAAACGCAAAAGTGTGCGTCAACAAAAATAGGACAACCCCAAAATGGAAACAAGGACTGAAACCTGCGGTGGTTTAGTTTTGACCCATACCCCCATGTCACATTCCTCCTAGGTGGCTTCGAGCCCGCTGGTTTGGTGTTCCGGAGGGGGTTCCCATACAAACCCGCTGCAAGCAATAGGTGTAGTCTTGACCCACATGTCAGCTTCCCTCCAATTGCGAATTGGTGCTTTGATTCCGTATGATTCCGTGGTTGGGACATTAAAAGCCACCTTCCCCCTTTGGTTTCAAAAGGAACTGGGGTTCAAATCCAAATCCAACCAACCAAGTAAGCCGAGGAATCTATATACCATTACCACAATGGAGGTTGATATTTTTCCATTGCTTACTTTTTCTTGGGATTGTCATCCTCCAAGTTGGGTTAGGGACCCTAGGGTCAGTGGTTACCTCGTGCCGGGCACCTCTGCATCTCTGTGCCCACGATGCCACCGATGCACTCCCCGCTGTGCACACCCACGCGGCAACTGGCAGTTGCGAGGATAAAGCATGCCCATCCGCGGAAGTTGCCAGGGAAAAAAACGAGGGATTTCCAGAAAATGACCAGTGGAGTTCCGGATGTTCAGTGGGATTCCAAAAGGACGGCAGTTTGCTTTTGTCCATTTTAAAAAGGGTTCCCCGCGTGGAAGCCAAGACCTCGCGGTTTTTCCGTCTCGGGCATGTTGATAATAGGGGGTCAAACAGAGTGACAAACAGGGAATCCGGGAAAGTCCTAACATTTGCCCTTTCGTCCCGCCCACCCCCTTGTTCATACCCTTGGCTTCCTTGGTTTTCACCCGACTTTCTTCTAACACCCTCCAGAAATTTGGCACAGTTACTTTTTAGCATCCATGAAAACTTTGGGCTCCTTTGGCAGCCGTCATTTGTATGACCGGATTTCTGTTCAACCATTTTGGAGGGTGTTCCTCATGAGCAACCACAGCAAACTGCTTTGTTACGGTACTCCATACCATGGTTGAAGGAAGTTGGGTCCTTACCCGAGCTGGGTGTTTTCATTGGGGGCCTGGAACAATTAAACAATTACCCATCGCATTTGTTGGCTTCCCTTGGTGAAAATTAACAATCCTGGTTGCTATTTGGCCCCCTGCAAGGGTTATCTCTAGAGACGCTTCCACACCTTCTATTCTCGCAGGGGCCGCAACAAACTAACCAGAGGTACAGCACTTGCCACGGTCTGTCGGAAATTGGCAAGCCCAAAAGGCCTCATTTCGTCAAAAGTGTGTCGGGTTTCAAATCACCAAAAAAGGTACCGAGCCTCGGACAACACACGTTGACAAAGAAACTCACCTCACTCCCTGACTTTTCCCCAGAAGTTGCATGCGGTTGGATACGGTATATTGATGCCCTGGGGCTTCCGGAAAGTGGATCCTATTTCGAGTGCCGAAAGGTGCTGGAAGGTCCGGGGGTCCTATGGAGAGGTTTCTGGATAGCATTCGGGGCTCCATGAAGCAGTTCCTGGATTGGACATTGGCTTTCTGGTTGTTTGAGAGTGCCACCCAGACCTATTGTGTTGGACACTAAAATGTTTCCAAGCCCAAACAAATGAGCTCAGTGAACTGAAGCGGGCCTCACTTGCTCGCCCTTGCGGCGTGACCACTTGTTGGTCTCCTGGACCTGGGCGACGCAACGCGCCGGATCGCCGACCTGGGCGACCTGGCGACCTCCAAATGAGCGTTCCAAACAGGGTTTTTGATTCTAGGATGGATAGAAATCCAGCTGAACAAGGTCCAGTTCAGAAAGGAACGACACCGAGACTTGGAGGGGTCCAACCCGAGCGAGGATCCAGCAGGTTTGACGCATCAAATCTTCTGGAGAACCTGGGCTTACAATCGGGGTGTGTCTCAAGATCGGGCATCCCCCATGGTTGGCTTCCTGTGGGTCTTCCCTTTCCAAAGCAAACCTACCCTTCCCACATGGCACCTCACGGGAGGCACCTCAAAAACTGAAGGGACTGGGCTACTGTCAGGTGCCATGGCAGTTAAGTGGGAGGGAGAAGTAACCAGCTCACTCAACTGAGTGGATGGATGCCCAAAAAAAGGTCCAAACCTTCGGTTTGCCACTCAAATGGCAACCAAACTCCCCAAAAGTGAACTTGGGAAGTGAGCCACACTGCATCAGCTGCTTTGCCACCCAAGAGCCCTCAGCCCGGCGCCATGTCCAGGCCAAAGCGGACCACGCTCATGGGCGAGTTCTTGTGCGTCAGCGGGGCCTCTGCCTCGCTCCGCCGGTCCGGTCGTCCAACTCATCTGGTGGGCTCCCATTTTGAGACACCATTGCTAAGGGCCAATCGCTTCGAGGTTAAAAACAAAAAACGGGCTCCTCAGGAAAAAAGAACTACGCTCCAGCCTCTGCTTTCGCAATGCCAAGCTGTTTTGGGTTCGAAGGCCCAAAATAATTTCCACCCCCGTAGGGGAAAATCGGCTCTATGCCCTTTACATATTGCCTACGTGGTGGTACAGCCCCTGGCCCCATTGTCCATTTGGGGTGGCTTGGGGGAGGGTGCGTCTTTTCCCCTGCCTTCTTCTCATGGGCCGACAAGGCCAACTATGCAGTTGGCTCAAGGGGTTGTTCTTGTCCATACTTTTTCGGCTCAAGGGGACCGGTGACCTTCCCTTGAATGGGAGTGATTTGGATGCTGGGTACCTTCTACTTTGGGTTTAAAAAGGAGCCAGAGTTCAAACCCGATCCAACCATCAATTCAGGGGTGAAGATTTGTAGCCAAAGGAACACCACAACTTTGATGCAAATCGAGGATTTGTCGCTCGAAACCACGGCCTGGCCAGCGATGTATGCATCACCGACGGTCTCCACCTGCGGATGGGCGAGTTTTGTTTTATTGAGTCGGTACCCTTTTCGTTTTTTTTCAGGATCTCCAATTTTGATTGAGTTTAGTTTTCCCAATTTTTGGTGGGGTGGAGGGAAACGGAAACGATATGAAGCCACCCATGGGACCCCATTACTTCAGAGCCCATCGATCTACGGTAACTTGGCCCACACCAAACATCAAACTCTCAGGTTCTGTTTCCTTTGAGTCCACCTGGACCCTCAAACCACCGATAAACATGGGGAGGTGATGTCCCTTTTTGAATGGGTTGAGGGTCCAGGTACCATAAAATAGAATATACCTGGATCGCCAGTTGCTGTTTTTTTTTTCCCATGCACTTTACCGCCAGACCAGCAACAGTGACCAAAACAAAAAACAACAAACAGCAACTTGCCTATCTAGATATTGCTTTGGAGACCGCAGAAACTTGAGTTCCACCATTCCAATCCGGGAGTCTTAAGATTCGGAGACGCGGATTTGATCGGACCTTGTAGACTTCATACTTGTCCGTGAGCTGATCGAACAGCCTGGCGAATGCATTTTGCCCTGAGCTTCACCTGGACGCGCCCCCCTACCCTACGTCAGGCAAGTAAGTTATAACCATGGATAAAAAAGGATTCTCCTTGATCAAACCCCAGTTTCCCCAGTTCTATGGTTATAACCTACTTACTAAGTTGGTTGAACACCCAAGTAATTGCAAGGGAAAGGGCTGTGCTCAATTCGAAAGGGACAACTGCTCACTGGTATCCCAGATGTGGGTTGTTCACCCTTCATTCCCACCCCTGGACTACACAATATGGCTGTGCTTCAATGGAAAAACACCCAAACTGGTGGATTTCCCTGTAAGAAAGACCCAAACTGGTGGATTTCCCTGGAATACCAACCAGACAAAAATGGCCAAAGGATCACAACCACTCACACAAATCCCATCTGGTGGACCCGAAGAGCTCGCCGATGAACTCGACCACCTGAAGGCAACGAGACCGTTGGTAGCACCCAAGCCAGCCCCAAAATGGAACATCGTCCTCTCGGTTTTTCTTACCAACCCCCAAACAGGGTACCCACAAAACCAAGCACGCCCATGTTTTTACTCCTTTGGATTGAAAATACCTGTAGAAATCGGGGGTCCTATTGGTTGCTCCCACACCCTGGGAATCTAAAAACAAGCCTCCGATTGTCTACCCCCACGGTTCTTCTTACAGCCGGCGAGGGGAGCAACCAGATCTCTTCACCCAGTGTTCTCCGAGAAAAGTCCACTAAATCCATCAGTTGGAGAGCTCGGGGTTGCGCATTTGCTGAGAACCCACAACTTACTTCCTGAGATAGGCCCAAGGTCTATAGACTTCATGTGTTTACCAAGTTGATTGATGGCCATTACCAGAACGGCAGGTCAGTTGATTTTCCAACCAACAGCTTGAAGTCCGTACCTGGGCCGCCGCCGTCACAGCTGGTCAAGCCGCCGAAACAAAAGTTGCTTCATCGCTACTTGCCATATCTCAGTCAATCCCAAGCAAGCCACTACAGCAGGCAACCAGCAAAATGTCCTTTTGGTTGTTAAAGGTTGGCAAGCCTTAGTTTCCTACGTAATACAGGTCAATGGAATCACTGAGATACAACCAAACCTGGGCTGCCCTCAGAGCCCCCGCTAAAAGTGACTAACTTTTTGTGGGTTAAATGGACACTACCACTAAACACTGTAAGGATTTAAAAAGATAAGGACCCGGATGGCTGGGAGCCACCAAGCAAACACAAGCTGGTGGCTTCAAACGGGTCCCTGGCACTCCAACTTCCTTCAGTCGACGCACAGTCGGGCCTCTTCTGGACGCCGGGTGCTGGCCAGCTTCGTGAAGCCACACAAGTCCTCAGGCGCGTTCCGGCCGATGGGGACTCAGAAGGGGAACCCGGTTCGCTTTGCCCAACCCGGAACCTGGTTCTCTTGGGCATCTTTCTGATTGCTTGGATTTATGGGACCAAATACAAGGGGGGGGGGGGTATGGGGGCGTACAGAATACAGGAGGTCTGGAAAAGGACCAAGGGATTTTTGGCTTCCTGCTGACATGAACTGTTGCGGGCTCTTTGGCACCCAGAAATTCTGGTTCACATATTGGACGTCACGAATTCAGGGCCAAGGGGCTTGGGGCCTGAGCGTGTGTTCCCTCCAAATCTGTGAGCTTATGCCCAAAGGCATAGACAAGCCAAAAGCTGAGAGGGACGAATCCAGGACACCCCCACCCGACCATTTTCTTGCTTCTCAAAACACGGGCCTGGTCGAACTGCGGAAATCTTCTGATAAAACGGACACAAACATTTGCCTCCTTATTGAAACCAGCCTCCTGCCCTGTGCCGTCTTTTGACGTGGAGACCAGAAGAGCCCCCAATTCGTCACTCGCCCAAGGAATCGACCCATTTTCCGGACATGTTTGGCCGAGCATTCACCTGCACCCTCAAACTAGCCATCAAAAAAGGGACAACTCACCTCATATTTTCAGGGGCAATCCATTTTTTTCAGGGCTGTTTGAGGGTTCAGGATACAACACGACGTCGCTTGGGAGCGCGGCTGACTGTGCGATCGTGGCATGCCGATAGTGGTGCGATGGGAAGCCCTGGCAAGGTCGTTCAACTCCGGTGTTATCTCTCGTGCCGCAAGTCCGCACATGAATTTGTCTTGCTTGCTGACCCCTGTGACCAAACTTTCACATTCTGTGGATCCAAGGGAAAATCAGAATCATTGACCAAAAAGTTGGTGTCCCAAAGATCCAACCAAATAGCCAAATAGCCCTCCAATTTCACCCGCCTGGCTGAGGCTGATGTCACGAAGGTCCTGACGCCAAATGCAAGTCTTCGAAACACCCCAGTTCGGCCTCTGCGGCGCGCTCCGTCGCAAAAAGCAACTGGGGAAAATTCGTGATCCGCCTGGTTGTTGTGTGGACATTGAGAGGCCCCCCCAAATCCCTCACAAATTCACGACTGGAAAACCTCAGCTAGAAGCTCAAAATGCGTAGCAATTCCTCCAGATTTGGTTTTGCGCCAAGTTCCGGACTCCATCAAGTGCAGCTTGGATCAACGTCACTTTCACTGCGCCGATTCCAGGTTCTAGGGTGGTTTTTTTCCGGCGTGCATTGAAATCCCATCCACTTTGCCGCAAAGTCCCTGACGTTGGCCACAAAAACCACAAAGCCTAAATCGTTTGCAGTTGGGCGACTCTGAATTTCCACCAAGAAAGCAGGAAGCTCACCAAAGACTTAGTAAGCCTGCTCCAAAAGTGATGCAAGAGGCTCACAAGTTGTCCAGTATGGTTAGCTTGTGAGGGACATTGAATTGGATGGAATATTCAGAGAAACAACAAGGAGTGAAAATTGTGGTGATATCGGGGCCTGGGTCCTAAGCGATGCCATACATCTACAAATAGTTCTATACATATATATATATATACATATAAATATGGGGTACCATATATATATATATACACATACATATATACGTGAATGCATATTGCTATGTATGGCAGCCCCCACCCCCGCAAACTTTCATGCGCCACACAAACACTGGAAAGTTGGTTGTTTGCGCATATTTCAGATGACCATGAATAAAGAAAGTTGAATAAATCGCTCGTTCTTGTGGTGTTTTCTGCCTTTTGGGGCTTTCGGGAAAGCAGCAACAGAGTGTACTTCCAAGGGCATTCTGGAAGCCTTAGGCACGATTCAAATTGTTCAATCGAGGTCCTTAGCTAGATTTCAATCTCCTTCAATCTAGACCCAGATCCAAGATTCAAGAAGCGTACATTCCTTGAGCCAATGAACCAAGGCCGCTTCGATGTGGGACATGCGAGACAAGGATATTTTTGGCTGCCTCCACCACCATGACGGGCATCAGAGTGTTCCTCAGACAACGCACACGCGATGTGAGTCGAGATGGCCAACTCAGGCTGCACACCCAGGCCCCCTTATGTGTCTCCCGAACTGACCCACAATTCACGGGACATGTGTGACCGAACGTGGCGGGGTTGACAGCTGAGCTGTATCAAACTGTGGGGGGACAAAACCCGCTTTGCACCACTTGGGACGGATGACCCTATGTATCACGAAATAAACCATCTACCGGGTCGTCAAACCACTACCCGAGAGCTTTGATGAGATACACAGCCGGTTTGTAGCTATCGGGTAAATACCCCCGTTCTTCCCTCGGTAGTGGAAACATGTGGAAACCATCTTAGCTGGTCCAAGGGCTTTTCAGCCCATCCACAGTACCAGCTCCAACAGTCTGCAACGCCGTGAGCCTTCCCGATGAGGGCGCCGAGAGGATGCATAAGGTTCGTGTCAAGAACAACTTTACCCTGCAAATTGACATGGACACCAAACGGAAGTCCAATCCCCAAAGGGGGACTTCTCTACAAAATTGACCTTTGGGTTCCATGCTAACCTGCGGATTTGATTCGAGTCTGCAACTGGACGAGGGGCAAGATTGACTCGGTGCGCTCGTGTGTCAGCTCCACAGCGCGTTTCGCCTCACAGGCGAGATGAAGAGAATGACACTGAAGCCAAGACACATTTTGGAGAGCAGTGCTTGATATAAAGGTTGTCAAGGCCGAGGCTCTTTTGATGTCCCCCCAAAAAAATCGAAGGGCCCCTTCTAAAGTGAAACGACGCAAACTGAGGCTAGCTGAAGCGAACCGGCCCGCCTTGAATCTTTGTCTCAGGCTAACCTCCGCGCTGTGTGCGACGTACCTACAGCAAACCGAAATACCCAAGCCGCCCCTGGTACCCGAAAGGGGAACTCAACAGGAAGTCCCAATGGATTTGTCTGCTTGGAGAGACCTGACAAAAGGCTCTTTAGGTGCAAGATGAATTGGCGTGCTTTGTTTTTTAGCATCATCCTGCTTTCGCGAAGGCTGTGATAAAGCGACATGTTTCTAGGTTTCTCCTCAAACATACAGGTACCCGTTAACAAGGTGGTTATCTTTTCGGCTTCTCCTTAAACCAACCTGAAACGGGTACCCTCAAACAATCACGACAAACCCAAAAGCTACCTTCCCCAAGCTTGGAAGTTGTCCGTCCAAAGCCCTGGCTCAGGTGCTCAGGTCGCACCCCTGCACGATGCTCACGCCAATGAAAACCACTCGGCTCTCTTGCGTCATGAAGAGATTCCTCGGTGCATCATGATTAGAGTGGGGACAAGTCATAGAATGTAGATTATTTTCTTTGCTTCACTTTGAGTCACAGGTAAAATGCAAAAAGATCCCAAGTCTACTTCAGGCATCTGCCAGTTGCCTGCAAACCTCTTGCCTCGAAACTGGGGATTCATCAGGAGGACCGTACTCAGGAGTGGCTCCGCCAAGGACATGATCTTCCAGTCAGAGGTTCCCAAGTCGACCTTATACCAAACAAATGACGGGACCAACAAGTGGCGCTTTACACTCAAAGTTTCTCTTTGACGTATAAAACGGACCGCCTTTTCTGGTTGAAAGCGCCATGCAAGAATCTCTGTGCCATGCTCGGGAAAACCGTTGAACAGGCACCAGGCCCTCTCGCGGTCAAATGGGCCCCAAAATCGCCCTTGCCAGAGCTCACTGAAGAAATGGGTCCTGGGCCAAAATCCAGTAGCCCCAGTGAACATCCCAATCCCCACTAAAGTAGACTAAAATGACATACCAAAAAATGGGACCATTGGTGGGTCCTGGGCCTCAGTCCTTGCCTATGGGGCATGAGGAGGATTCCATCTTTTTGTGGGGAAGCTACCAAACGAAAATGGGAACTCCCAAAGTTTCACCGAATGCACATGGTCGCCCCTCACTGTGGATGGACACACTCCACTTCGCAAGTTGTTGGTTTACCTCAGTAGTCATAGCGTCATCTATTTTTCGGCCAAAACAACCAAAAAGGACACCTATGGTACTTGGATGTTCAGCCAAGTTGTCTCACTGGGGCAAGCAGGACTATTCCCTGAGTCCTCCAGTAGAGAGGTTAGAATAAGGGTAACCTTTTTTCCGCAGTCTATTTTATTTGGGGAACCCTTCCCCACAAAAGAAATGGTAAAAGGGCACTACTGGGGGACCTAGATCATCCAAGTTGCAACCCGTTCTACTGGGGCAAGCAGGACCATTCCCTAGGTCCTCCAGTAGAGAGGTTAGAGCAAAACAAAATGATCAGAAAATTCGTAATAAGGGTACCCATGCAGTGTATTTTAGTTGGTGAACCCTCCCCCAAAAAAGGGTACTGAGGTTCCCCCTAGTCTCCGTGGTAGTCTGCTTGCCTAAAGACCCAAGCACTGACGCCGGAAGCGGACTGAGTGCAGGGCTTGAACCCCAAATCCCGGGACTCGAGGCCCATCAGCAACTCAGCGCGGGATCGATTTCCGGTTCCGAAAGGGTGGGTGTAGCTCGTTGCTCCCGAAAGCTGCGGTTTTCCGGTCCCTTTCACAAGCAACAAGGGTACCAAGCCTCAAAAAACAACACAGCCTCTCGGTAGAGGGTGGGGTGCCCCAATCAGGGGGGGTTGGACATGTAAGGGATCCGATCCCTACGCCAAAACGGATGGTTTAGTTCAGCCAGCATGATTAAGTGCGGGACGATGGCGACCAGTACGAAGACCAGGGAAGGGCGAAAAAGAAACCTCAGCATGCGGTTCCTCCTGCGACTGAGGCGGGTCTGAACCGCACAGGAGTCTGGAGGCTTTGAATAAATTTCACACGGATCCATGGAAGGAACCCCTAAAAGACGTGATCTCAGGAACGGAATCTCCTTTGAGGAAGGGGGCCCCTTTTAGTTTGCAGTGAGCCCGCGTCTTTAGCGCTTCCAAGCTGTCGGCGGATTCTGAGTGATCACCAGCTGAAACATGGGCCTGGCACAGATCTGAGAGCTGTGAGCATGGTTCAACGTGGCAACCCTCCAGGTCATTGAGGGTACCCTTTTGTGCGGTTTAAAGGGAGAGCAAAAAGGACAACAACCACTTTGGGGGTATCCACAACACACAAACACACCCAATCATAAAATACAACCATGTCTCGTAGTCTGAGTCAAAGCAGCTCTGGAAGCTTTCGACACGCTTTCAGGCAACTGCGCTGGGTCCACATGATCAGCAAGCTGTAAATGCTTCTTTCCGAGGCCACATTGTCCTGGGAGACGGCTCACTCGAGCGCTCGAGTCTCGAATGGCACAAGCAACTTTATGCAGAGATCAGACACTTGGTGCGAAAAGGGAACGACGGAATGAACCGTTTTGGGATTCCCGAAGAAAGGACACCACCAGTTGGATGGCTAGGGTCATTCTCTCATTCCCTGAGCACCAGCAAGGAAAGGCACGGGATTGATTCTTCCCCCTACCATATGAAAGACTTGCCTGGGAATCCTTCAAAGATTAATTCTTCCTCTTGCGGAGCGTCACAGGGGAAGTCATGGGACTTCGATCATCAGTGTGATGCATCCAGGAAAAGTGACATCGGGTCACAAAAGGGGGGGCGATCGAAGCCCGTTGACGGCGGCTCAGTCTTGATGCTGCCTCAAACTTCCGAACTACGCATCAGTTGGAGACGGGCTTCTTTGGGTTTTCCTTCATACACGGTCCGAGCTTGTTTGCAAGGACGATAGTCTTCCAAAAGGGTCTGTGTACCCATGTTTGTCGGTGGGAGGGTACTAATATCGATTTGCCCAGCCCCATTCCCCAGACTGGGGACACAGTTTGCGAGCACCTGCCAGCCCGGCGAAAACGTGCTTCAAGACATGGGAAACATGGGTAGCCCCCCCTCATCGCTGAGGGTTACTGGCCCCCTGTCGACTAACGCGAGGCTAACCAAATCGTGTGGGCCTAGTCTTTTTGTGAGGTTTGGCGATGCCCTCCCTAACTAGCAATAGACCAAGAGAAATATTGTCAGCTAACTCCTCATGTGGAAGCCATAGTTGATTGAACCGGTATCACTTGGTTTGTCAGATGAAACCCGAGTCTTTTGAAGTCCCCAAAAAGTGTCGAATCCTTTTGTCAACCGCCTGGCTTTCGGCTCACTCGGGCAGCTAGATTCTCAGGCAACCACAACTCCAGCGACCATGGGACAACAAATCGCCAAGCAATTTGATAGGCACCACTGGACCACCACCTCAAAAGTGATCGGTGGACACGAATCTCCACTGAAATGATGTCCACGAAAGGGACCCCTTAAAATCCCAGGCCAAGCCCACCTGCCACTAGGCGCTTGTGTCAGAGAACAAGCGACGGAGCTGGATGGGTCGAGTGCGCGTGTCCTCGAGGTTGTTTTGAGGTGTAAGGACGTCGTAGGAGAACACCCTGCCAGGTGTTCGTCTGCATGTGTGGTCAGCAAGCGACCAAAGCCGAGCATGTGCAAGATAGGGGGACCCCCCAACAAATAGTGGCGTTCCTATTGGTTTCTCTTTAGAAACCTAACCACAATACCCTAAAAAACGCAAACGAATCAAGAACAAGGGTCGATCACCAAGTCGGGTTGCCGATTCAGCCGAGCTTGAGGACCGGTTCAAGCTCAGCCGGGCTCACATCAACACTGCGATTGCCTCAGCGTGCCGGCGAGATCACCGGTCCAAGACACATTGGGAACCATGTTGAGGACCAATGGGACACAGTCCCTGGGGTAGACAAAAGGTTGAAAAGGGTATGTTCTTTTTTGAGCGTACTCTTTTTGGTTGGTTTGAACACCTCCATTTTTAGGGGGTACCCTGGACGAGCTCGGAGCACTGACAGGTCTTCCATTTGATTGAAGCCTCGAGGGAACACTGGGAGCCTACTTGGCCGAAGGAATGTGAAAAGGGACTCATACTGGTAAGGCAATCAAATCGTGCACCCTTGCATCGTGAAACGGAAACCAAGGGCAAGCAAATACATACCGTGATTTGGAAAAATTCAAAGCGCAACACCAAGGGAAACCGTTCCCTGTTTGGGGCGTCAAAAAGAAACCAAAAGGATTTGGGACGGTCCCCATAAAATAAAGGAACACACACACACACATTTTTGGGATGGTCTAAAAACAAAACCCGAGGGACACTGAAGGGAAACCCATCAGCAACCGAGAAACACTCACCAAAGGCCCACTTTGGAGCTAAGCAAATTTGATTTTTCTGGGAGTCCAGCGCAGTAGGACACCAGCAGTCGAAGCCAGACCTCCCGGAGACTGGTGTCCAAAAGAGTACCCTGAACACAGATTGCCGGGCCGCCCCCCCGCCCCGGGCTTTCAATGTTTGTGTACTCGCCTCTGAACATCTGAAAAGGCAAGGCCCGACAAGGGTACCAAAGCAAAAAGCTGGGGCAACCCTTCCACCAGACCCCATCTCTCCCCTTCTCTTAGGCATTAAATCTTTCAAGTGTCTGTCTTACGAGTGAGGTTTGCCGGCTCACAAATCTGCCGGCGGATTTCCGGCGTGCATGTTAGCAGATAGGCTGAAGAATACCCTCCCACCAATTAACACGGAACCTGACGTTCGGGGGGGGGCCTGGAAGACCAGATATGAAGGGAACTCTGCGTCAGGCTCCCCATGTTGATTGGTGGAAGGCATCTCTGTCTCCAAAGTCTTGCATGTTCAACCCCACATACATTTAGCATCGTTGCAAGCAATTTCCGCGCATGTCTAGTATGTGCACAACAAACGCCCGGGAGACATCCAGCGCAGATTGTATGTGGTCAAGCAGATTTCTCGCGAACACGTGCCGCATCTTGCCTGCGTCTATGAAATGTTTGCATGTTGCTAGCACATGTATCTTTGCCGCAGCAAATGTTCCGCATATTGCAGGCAAGTGTTGAGCTGCCTGCTAGCAAACGTCCTTCATATTTCCAGCACAGGTCTGCCCGGCCTACGAAAACATGCCAGTACGTTTACACTGTGCCTATCAATGCCATCATAGTCGTGCAATACTTCCAGCATGTTCTTTGCACACTGCTGACATGTTCTTCTTTTATGTCTAGCATATTGCCGGTACGTGCCCATCATGCTCCTGGTATTGTCTATGCCCAGCCAAGTTCTAGCATGTGTCTCCCGGTTTCTAGCAGATGACCACCACGTGTCAAACGCGGATTCTATACACTTTTTTGGTTGCTTATCTCCGTCACATATTTCACCGATTCTACCATTGTGTCAGGCAAAACAGGTGTGGCTGCAGTGTACAGTGGGAGTGTGCTACAA